CTGGGAAGCACAGTCTGGGGTTATTGCTGCACTGCCCTCACCCATGTGCCTTCTGGACAAGGTGAACTAGTGCCACTGGTGCATCAGGAGACAGAAGAATGAATCCTCTTTCCCACATAATTCCCTTGCTCTAGGAACCTCCCACACCCTTCTCAACAGCAGCACCTTCTCCTCAAAGCTCATAACACTGGTGCTAGGAACTATTCCTTGACTAATAGTTTTCCTAAGAGGTCCAGTCAACCAGAACTCAGGAAGAGGATTTTTCAGGGCTCTTGAGCTCAAATGTCACTGCTGGCTCTGGTGGGAATGAGTGGGATGTCGTTATCATGGAAACTCATCTCCTGCTGCTGTGCAGCCATTTGGAGCAATGGTGAGTGGAGATACAGGGCAGAGTTCTGGTGGGTGACTGGCCCCTAAATTTGGCTGCCAGATGGCTGCTAACTGCATGTGTAAGCTGCCTTTAAGACAAGAGAGATTTCTGTGGAAGAGATATTAATATGTTTAGCCAGTAGGCCTGAAATTGGTGGGCAAGCTCAGGCAGAGCCCTGACAGAGAGCAGGGAATCCCTGCCAATACTCACTGAGGCAGGAGGCAAGGCGGACACTGTACCCCCAGTACAAGCCCGAGACCGTCCGGGGGTGGTGTGAGGACACCACGGTGCCTTTGTGCACTTTGGCTTCTGGAAGGGAAGCAAGGAGATGATCAACCCCTGCAAGCTGGTGAGATTTGACCAGCGATTTCTCCTGGGGTGGGGCACTGAGTTGGTGTACAACACAACCCTCCCTTTTTCCAGGATGTGAAAAGGGATTCTGAGAATTCTGCGAGTTCTGGAAAGCATGCAGGTGTGTTTGGGGTGTTCACTGTTGGTCAAAGAGGCAAGGTAAGGGTGTTACTAAACTGTGTGTGAAGGGAAGGTGTAGAAACGTTGGATACCTTCAAACCTGTGCTATGGAAGGACCAGCTCCTGCAGGTCTGCAGTTCACAGGTGCTACTGGAGCCATGGATTACCTGGATTCTGGGGCTCCTCCAGGCGCACGGTGACTCTCAGACCAGGGTTCAGCTGCTTGTCTATCTGCACCTCCTGCAGTGACAGTCACCATCATTGTCAGGTATTCTGGAAGTACTGGGGAAGGTGGGGAAGGAAGGGAACCCTCTCAGGAAGTGGGGGTCTGTTCCAGCCTGGAGCTGGAATGAGGAGCTCTGCATGTGGCTCAGGGCCTTGGGAATCACTCTGAGACTTATTTTGCTGCTCAAAGGTTCAGCTGCAGCAGTGAAGCAACAATGTGCTGGAATAAGCAGGGCCTTCCAGGGGCTTGGGAAGCCACAAACACTGGAGAGCCAGAAGGGACAAGACAGCAACAGCCTTAAACCCCCTGCCAGCCCGCTGTGGCCTTCAGAAACCCAGCAGTACCCACCCTGCCTGCTTCAGATCTGCCAGAGAGACCAAGGGGATTGTTTTGGGGATCTGTGGGTAACAGACATACCTTCCTCATCCCACAGTTAACAAAAGAACCTTTGCCTGGCTTCGATGGCCGGTCCAGCACGACGCCCTCCCGGTATTCCGAGTCCTCATCCACCCGCATGTGGTGGGGGCTGTCCAGGGGATTGAGGAGCCCTGGAACAGCAGCACAAAGGGAAGAGTTGCTGAGAGGAGGACAGTGTAAGTGCCCTCCTGCCTCCTCCCTCCCAGTGTCCCAGAGCCCCTCACTGGCTCGGTGAAGTGGGAACAGTTACTGTGATCTGTGTGTCCCACACAAAATGAGCTCAGGAGGGACAGAGACAGCTGGATCATTACCTGCAAACTGCAGATCCTCGTGTTTTGGAAAAAAGGTTTTCCTCAAGTACCTGTTACCAGAGAAGGCTGAAATGTGAAAAGTTGTTTTTATGGAATCCAAGCCTCAATTCCAACCCTGTCCCGAGTCAAAGGTGCTGAGTACAGAGAAAAGCAGGCTTAGCTTCTTCAAATCCCTGATCTACCTCTAAAGTATTGTGCAGGTTGTATCCTGCATTCACTGCTCCTCTTTCAGTTAAACTCCTGAACCAGACAAGTGAAAGAATCAGATCCTGTGTTCCTGCATAATGATGTGATACAAACAGAATTTGCCTCCTGCTCCCACAGCCTCTGGTGTGAGGTACCCATGGCAGTTGGATCTCATGCACAGTCTGACCACGGTGGACTTACTGAGGGCACTCCAAGTACTGCAGGACCCGAGCCAGCTGCACACAAGCGTTGCCTTTCCTCCCAATTCCTTTGAAGTCCCCCTCCACGCTCCTGAAAGAAAAAGAAAGCAGCTTGAGGACTCAGTCTGAGGTTGGTCAGGTCTCTGGAAGACCAAGCTTTGCTTCTTAATCTGAAAATAGCAGCACACCCCTTCTCTCCACCCTGCTCATCTTTGGAACTCTCTCCATAAGCCAGGTATCTTTTTCAGTTTTGTTTTTTGATCTTTGTGTGTTGACACAACCTGGCACTTGGATGCCACTGAGCTCGATGCTCAGAATTGCAGGGCTTGACCAGTTAGCACAAGGGCAGGTCCAAGTGAAAAGCTGAAGGGCACAAATTATTCTTCTAAAGAGATATAGGCATGTCCTGTCCCTCACAGCAAAGTTTAAGACTACAGGAGAACTTGACCTCCTGCTGGTTTGTCATCCCTGTGCTGGGATAAAACAATCCTGGTTGCCAGGGCTGTTCAGTCAAAATCTTTTCCCAGTGGTAGAGGGGTCCCTGTAATCCTGGCATTTGAGGGAGGTCCAAACACTTGCATGAGGTACACACAGTTCCTTCCTGGCCTCAGCTTAATAAAAGACTGAAGGAACTGAAAGCTGAGAGGAAACACTTTGTGCAGAACAGGATGGTTCCTCCTTCATAGAATCTCAGAATGGTTTGGGTTGGAAGGGACCTCAAAGTTCATCTTGTTCCACCCCCTGCCACAGGCAGGGACACCTTCCACTAGCCCAGGTTGCTCCAAGTCCTGTCCAACCTGGCCTTGGACACTTCCAGGGATGGGGCAGCCACAGCTTCTCTGGGCAACCTGTGCCAGGGCCTCCCCACCCTCCACCTTAGGGAAGAATGTCTCCCTAAAATCTCATCTAAACGTGTTCTCTTTCAGTCTCCCCCTTACTTCACATCCTCTCCCTGCTCATCAAACACCACGATCTCGTCCACGCAGAAGATGGCGCAGGCCCGGCCGATCTGTCCCGCCAGGTACGTGCGGAGCTCCAGCGACTGCGCGTTGTTCAGGATGGAGCCCGGCAGGGCCACGCTCAGCGTGTGGTGACGGCCTGGGGACAGAGAGAGAACCATGGCTGGGGGAGCAGAGCCACGAGAGAGCCACGGCCTGACAGCTGATGTACCGCATCACAGTTACTGCTTCAGCTGCAGCCGTGGTGGGGAAAAAATGTCCTCTGTTTTTTATATTTAATCTCAGATTTTCTCTTAGGAATGGTCTCTCATGCAGTGCTCGCTGTTCGTGCCTGTTTGGGCATGTGGACTGACCCATACTGGACCTATGAAGTGTCACCCTCTCTATCAATCTGGAACACTGACTGGCTTTTAAGAGCCCAGTTCTCTCAGCTTTTTCCACCCACGTCTCCACACCGGGTCGCAGCAGCATCACCTCTGTCTGCCTTCTGCTCCTCCTTCTGCTCCTCCTTCTTTTTGGCCTCCTGTTCTGCCAGCTCCCGCACCCGCTGTTTCTCCAGCTTCTTCAGCAGCTTCATCTCCTTCCATTTCTTCTTCTCCGCTTTCCCTGGGGCGGGGAATGGCGCCTGGCGTTAAACACCGGTTTCACCCTCCCGCAGCCCCCACGTGTGCCCGGCCTTCCTTACTTTCTCCTCCTTCCAGCGCCGCCAGTCCACCTTCCTGTCCTCGACCTGCGGGGAACGGAGCGCGTTACCCCTCAGAGCCATCCCCAGGGTCCCCCCCATCCCGGGGCTCCCCTGCCCCACCTGCGCTCCCCGGGGCCGCTTCCCCACGTTCCCCTCGGTGTCCGCCATCTTTCCCGCGCTCTCGGTCACGCCCCCCGTGCTGTGATTGGTCGGACGGCCCTGGCACCTCCCTTGGGGGCGGAGCCCCAGTGTCACGTGGGCCGTGCTTAAGCGCCCGGCGCGGGTGCGAAGCTAAGCCGGGACCGCCGCGTTCTGCGGGCGGATGGGTGACCTGAAGGCGACGCGGGAATTTGGGAACTCCTGTAATTCTGTGGTTGGTCAGATTTTTAGCTTCGTGCTTGTTCAATGGTGTGAGTGACGTTTTACATCTGAGGAAGTCTAGTTCACGAATAGAAACGTTCTGAGTGGTTGGGAGCAAATGTTCCTTGGGATTGCAGCTGTTCCTTGAGGTTTCTTCTCATTTTTTTCTTTTTGAATGCATGTCATCTGTGGATCTCTTGAGATGTGATTTTCTTGAGAGTTGTGCTTCATCCCCAAAACAATAATAAAGATTAAATGCTGGCTATAGCCATTAGCAGGGTCTAAGGATGTGTATGTAAAATTTAGGCAGCCACATCTGTATCTCTGCACAAGCACTGCTTGTGTGTTGGACAATGTGGAAACGCATCCTGCCCCTTGCAGGTTGTGCCATGGCCTAGAGCAAGAGCTCCCACGTGTTGGGGGTGTTGCAATTAATCTTCATGTTAATAATCTAATCTCACGGTTCTTTCTCTGTTTCAGCAGTTGCAGCTCTCCCCATGTTTGGTAGGTAAATGGGTGCTAAAGGGCTTTCAGCAGCACCCACCCAGGCTGTGCAAGCAGGTGAGCCTGGCATGTGCCACCAGTGAGAGCAGGTTTGTTTGCCTCCTTCCCCCTGGTCCATGCAGCTCTGGATCCAGGGGGATCAGTCCCATCAGCTGCAGCCCAGTATGGAAAACCTGTGGAGCTCCCTGCCAGCCTGGGTGGGATGAGCAGCCACCACCAGAGGACCCAGCACAGGTGTTGCACAGGTGACAGCAGCTCTCCAGGAGAGCTGTGTCAGCCCTACAGTCAGTACAGAGACATTGACTCTTCCATGATTGCAGTAGTTCCACTTTAATAATTTAACTGCTACAAACACTCGTGGCACAGTCTGGTGCACATAAGTCCTGCGTGGTTGATGATGATGTTTTACATTCTTATCCAGGCTGAAATCAAGACTGATGCAAGAATTCTCTCTCAGATGCTGCTCATGTCACCCCACTAGCCCAGTGGGTGGGAGGCTGGGGGGGGCACCAGCAGCAGGAGCAGCCTGAGGCCACAGTGCCTGTCCTCCCCAGGCACCATGTGCTCTGATCAAAGGCCTAAAGGTTTTGTTCTGCACCCCGGACAATTCTGCCAAGCCCAGAGTAGTTTGGGGGTGCACAGGGAAGGTTTGGCAATAGCCAGGATACTGATAAAAGCTGTTTTCTGGGGGAAACCGGTTACGGATTCTGTGGTCACCTTCCCCAGGGAGTAACAGGAAAAAGTAATGGGAAAATTGTTAGTTATGGAAAAAAACATCTCACTGGATTTATAATCTTCAGGATCATGGAGTCACCCTCCTGATAGCTGGTGATACTGTACAGTCCTGTGGGAACATGAGTGCTGGTGGAAATGCTGTCCTGCACTTTGGATTACATGAGGAGGGATGTGGAGCAAGACGAGCCAGACTAACTCCTCACCACGGCCTTAAAGGTAGGTCCTGAAGCACCTTTCCAGAATTTGGTGATGGAAAACACTCCTGGAGCCCTCCTTACCTTGTGTCTTGTTGGATACATCCCAGAACTGATTAGCAAAGTCTTTAAAAGTAAAGAGAAACGTCAAATACTGTCAGTGCACACCAAGTTACTGCGCCCATTTCACAGCGACTTCAAGTGTTCGCAGATTCCGGGTCTGGCAAACCTCTTACCCATTTGTCTGACAGAAAATGGTTGAAAGCACAGAAGTAAGAAGGTATCAAAGTTTGTAGACAAGTAAAGAAGAGGAAGAAGAGTAGTCAGGGCAGGTGAGGACCAAGGAGAGCCTGGTTCTCCCTCCAGTGCACTCAGGAACTGGTTTTCTCCTTTTTCCATTTTTGCAATATGTCATTTGCTGCCTTCAGTGTAGCATCCTCCTAAACAAATACCACAGATTTGGTCAGTGGCTTCCAACCAAATCCCATTTTTCCTCACTGCAGTCACCATTCATACAAAAATCCTGTTCTCGTTCCTGAACGTGGTAAATGCTGTGTGTTCAGTGTGAGACAGGCACAGGCACCTCTGGGACAGGCATGGCCACTGGGCAGCTAAACACACACCCAGAGACTCCCTGCCTTGACCAAGAACTGTAGGATACTGATGGGGCCAAGCTTAGGATGGCCCTGCACACCTGCTGCCCCTGGCTCAGCTCACATGTCTGGAGGAGGGATTGTTCCAATTGGAATGCCATGCTCAGGGTCCTGTGCCCACTCTGCATTTCTTCTTGGCATTTATCTCATTAAACCAGCCCTGGTTGTTACTCCCAACCTCACCTTCCTCAGTGCTGTCACGTCTCACCTTTGCGAAGCAGAACCGGATGAAATTGGGGTAGTTGTTCTTGTGGGCCTCGCTGTAGAAAGTGGAGAGTGGGATGGCAGCAAGGCCCTGGGAAGAAGGAAGCACCTGGAGCTGAGTTTCCTGCTCTGGGGCTGCCCTGCCCCAGCGTGGGTGAAGCCCTCTCCTCCAGATCCCCCCTGCCAGGAGCTGCCAGATGGGCAGTGGTGTCGTGCTCTGGCTCCCAAAGGTGCAGCCAGTGGGGAGGGCACAAACCCACCCGGGGCAAGTACAGCAGGAAGGGCCATTCACAGTTACCTTGTTCTTCATCATCCACTTTGTAAATCTGCAGTCATAGGGCTCATCTGAGTTGGGGACCTCGGGGACATCAGATTCTGCAGGAGAAGCAAAGCAGGACAGGGGCTGGGGCAGCTGCCAGGTGCCCCAAACCCACATCCTTGGAGCTTGGATGGGGAATGCACTGTCCATCCCTGCTTTGGTGGTGCTTTAGGCAGGTTCCTGCCTTGAGCTGCCCCCCACACTCAGCCCCCCTGGGCAGAGCTGCAGCTGACTCACTGAACTCAGAGATGTCAGCCACCAGGAAATAGGTGCCCTCGGGGACGATGGGTTTGATCCCCACAGCAACCAGGCTCTGGATCAGCAAGTCTCTCTTCTGCTGTAGTGTCCTGGGCAGTTGGACAAAGTAGCTCTCTGGTTTGCCATAGAGTGTGAGCTCCCTCTGGAAACCCTGAGCCACGGCCTCCTGCAAGGAGAGACGACCAGTGCCCAGTGGGAAGATGGCCAAGGCTTGTTCAGGAACTAAACTCTTTGCTCTGATGCATTTCACAAGTGATTAAGGAACTCTGCCTCCAGCCCTTCCAAATGGCCCCTTAGATTTGTCAATGCAAGGTAGGAATGTACCCCAGGGCAGGCTGGACTCTCCCCTCCAGGGCACCATAAATAACTTGTCTGTGCCTTTCAGGTCAGCCATGGGCAAAAGAACACCTCTTTCCCCTGCTTCAGGAATGTCAGGGCCAGTTGCAGGGAGCTGCCTTACCTGGGCAATGGTGGCACAGTGGTACACGGAGTTTTGGTGCACGGTGCGGACGTGCTGCAGCAGCCTGTCGGGTCCCACAGTCCATCCCACCTGCAGCCAGGAGAGGAGGAGGAAGGTGGGAAGTCTCTGGAAACCTGCTCAGGCTCCCCTTTATTTGCCTGGGCTGGTTTCATTGTATTTTCCAGACAGAGCTTTCCTAAAGCAGCTTTGGTGCTTCCAGACCCCGAGGCTCAAAGCTGAGCGCGTGGCCACAGCATCCCCAGCGCCGTGCCGTGGCAAGGGGATAGGGATGGGGACACAATGGGGTGCCACGTGGGGCATTCACCTTCCATCCAGTGGCACTGAAGGTCTTCCCAGCGCTCCCGATGGTCACCGTGCGATCCCACATCCCTGGCAAGCTGGCTGGCAATGAAAGGAGAGAAACCCCAGTGGCAGAGCTCAGTGTGCTCATTTCTGGGAGCTCTCTGCCCACCATAACCCATCGTGATCTTTTGTGTGTTCACAGCACATCTTTCACCTGGATGAGCCTCAAGGCAGCCAGGTTTCTCAAGAGCATCTCTTTTAAATTAAATATCTTCATGCTCATGTACCCAGCCCCAGGGGCTCCTGGAGATGCCAAGCACCATCACTCTGCAACAGGGTGATTGCATGTTACTGCAACTGGAAGAACAGGCTTCTGAAATCGTGTTGAAATGGATTTCCCGAAACTAGAGACACTCAGAAAACTGTGGCTTTACAAAGCATGGGAAAAAAACCCTCAGTTTCACTGGAGCCAAAGGGCTCTTTGCTCTGCATCTCCCCTCTGACTGGCTCTGAAGTCAGGGCTCCTCTATAAGACCTGGGTTGGAGGCTGAGATTGGAGTGCAGCAAAAGGATTTGTGCCTAGTACAGCTGTGCATGCAAGGCACAGTGGGATCTCCAGGGGACCCCAGTGATATCACCACAGCCTCCCCTGGGGAGGCCCCCAGGCCCAGCCAGGCCGTCTCCACACCGATCCGGATGTGCTCCTTCCCGTCGTAGACCAGCCACTCGTACACCTCGTCGCTGATGCACAGGACGTTGTGCTTCACACACAGCTCTGCAATGAGCTCCAGCTCCCCACGGCTGAACACCTGCAGCAGGAAGGGAATGGGGCAGGGATGCAGCAGGGGCATTTCCGAGCCTGTCCCTGCCTGTCCATGAAGGCTGTGCACCCTGACAGCACCATCTCCCAGGTCAGGGAGGCAGGAGCTGGCAGGTCTATCAGGGCAAAGCCACTGCTGGCACCAAAGACAAGGCTTAAAAACACCAGAAGAGTGAGCACAGCATGTGGTGCCTTCAGAAAACCCATTTTCCTTGTGTGCAAGGAAGGTTGAGTCACTGCTGCACTGCAAATGTGGCTGCAGCACCCCAGCAGCTCCCAGGGCCACTCACAGCACGGCTAGAGGAGTTACCTTGCCCAGAGGGTTATTGGGTGAGTTCAGGACGATGGCTTTTGTCCTTTCACTGAATTTAGAAGCCAGTTCAGCTGGGTCCAGCTGCCAGTCTGCACTAGACATCAATTTTCCATCTTCTGGAGCTTTCTAGAGAGAACAGAGGGGAATCTTGGTTTGCTTTGCTATCTGTGCACTTTGCTTCCCACTCTCCTCCTCACTTACTTTGCTGTGACTCTTCCCCTTCACCCACTCACCGGTCTCAGCGGGACAAACACGGATGTCCCACCAGCCATTTTCACCATTGACTCATAGCAGTCAAAGAAGGGTTCAATGACTACCACCTGGAAGAAAGGACATGTCAGCACCCTCCTGGCCCTGCTCAGACCTTCCCTGATGTGTGCAGAGAGAAATGGAAGGGATATTTTAATCCCTGAATTACTGTAATGGACAATCTGCAGTGCCTCTGGGCAGTGTCTGGGAAGAAAACCACCACTCAGGGCAAGAAGGGTTATTTTGCCTTTGGCAGAAATGAGACTGTGCCCTGCAGCAGATAATTTTTTCCTTTGGAAGTTCAGAAACTGGAGAATGGAGCTAAAACTGTCTCTGCTTTGGAAAAGGACAATGAAAACTAGCCTGTAACTCATGGCAGACCCACAGCCAGGAAGGGCTCTCCTGGGGGAAAGCTGCCGGTGCAACAAGCCCAAATCTTGGGTTACCTCATCACCTTCATCCACAAAAGCCTGGAAGCAGCAGAAAAGGGCCTGGTATGCCCCCACAGTCACCATCACATTGGTCATAGGGTCCAGCTCTCGTCCAAGCAGCTTCTCAAAAATCTGGGCTAGGACCTTCACCAGAGGCGGGTGTCCCTGTGGGGTGAGAGGAGGGTGGGAATTAGGTTGCAGAAGCCTCCTAAAACAAGGATGAACCCTTGGAAAGGGCCTGGGCAGCCAAGCACCCTGTGAGGCATCTCCCAGCCCGGCTGCTTCAAACCCTGTGGTAAAGCAGGGAGTTATCCCCCAAGCAGGGGGCTTGGGTCAAGGCTGGATATGTGTTTTGCCCTGTTTATTGCTGCCTGAGGAGGCCTGAAGCAGCCAGGGCTGAGGGGCAGGGAGGGGTGCTGCTGAGGAGGGGGGCTGTGCACGCACAAAGGCCCGGGTGTACTGGTGCAGCATGTGGCTCCCCTCGCTGAGGGCTCGCTTCAGTGCCTCCTGCAGAAAGTCCGGAGCAGGGAAGTCAGGGAAGCCCTGGCCCAGGTTCACCTTGGAATAGGTAGCAGCCAGTTTCACAAACTCCACCCTGGAGAGAACAGAGAGAAAAGCACTTACAGAGGGTCTGAGCAGCACGCTGGCACCGGCTCTGCTTTCAGCATCCCTCTGGAGGGGAACGGGGTTGGTGTCCCTCCTGCAAAGCCATCCCACTGGTCACAGGGGGGCAGGACCGAGCACAGGTCATTTCAGACCTGTTGCAATTAAACCAAGGACGAGGCACTGTGGCACTGGGGGGTGGCTTTAATTTATTCTCCCAGGAAACAGCTCCTGTGCTGTCTGGTGTGTGGTCATGGCCAAAGCCACTCAGACACATTCAGGACAGGACTCAGAGGTTTCCAAGCTCATACCAGCCCTGCAAAATTTAGCAACCATACACTGTGAAGGCCTCTGCAGAGGGCAAGGCAGGCTGAACTTGCTGCTTGTCCCAAACAAGAGCCAGCTCATCAGCAGTCTGTAGGTTGTTTCAATCTCATCCTCGAGCTTTCCCAATGCCATGCTGTGCCTGGCGGGCTGGGAATGGCTGGAATGGCCTCTGCAGCAGCCCTTCACCTGCCTCTCTGCTTGCAGTGCCCCAGGGTGGGCTTGAAGCAGATGCCAGGCTACAGCCAGTGTGCTGCAGCTTGGCTCAGGTTTGGGTGCTGCTGGGATCATTTGAGTGGATGGGTCAGAGGGAGGGTGATGCTCCGGCCTTTCTGCCCTCAGGATGGTGCAAAACACCTGACACAGCACAAAGTGAGAGCAGCAGGTACACAGCTGAGCCAGGGTAAAGTCTTCTGGGACAAACTCACCCCGATGTGCTTCCTGAACGTATGTAAAGCAGTCAGGGGAGGCTGCTGCTCTGTGCTGTGTGGCTGCCGAGGTTTCTATCTGCTTTTAGGGTGTCTAAAACCACATCTACCACCAGGGTAAACCGGATATTCTCTTAACTCACCAGATATTCTTATCTATTCCCTCCAACCTCCGAGCTTGAACTGGCCTTGACATTTTTGCCTGCAAAGGAAGAGAGAGAAAGTGAGTTTGAAGCTTTCACTTACCAATGGGTCCAGGCAAAAAGGGGCTGTGGCTTCCCAGGTATGTTTTTCCCAACAGAAGGTGTGTCCCTTAGTTATTCCTTCACGGGCTGTTGCTGGCTGACTGTAGAGCAGTAATGCTGTTGCACTGGTTTCTGTTTTCATTTACAAGTTTCAACAAGCACTGGGAAAAGAGGTGAACAAAAGAAGTGTTTGTACACTCACTGGGGAGCTGGCACAGCCTTAAACCTCATTATCAGTTGGGATAAATCATGGGGTCAAATGAGCTCAGCCAAGCTGTAACAGCCAGGCCAAGGACCCCAGATCTGAGGTTTTGCCTTCCATAACCTCTCCTATCTTTCAGTGGAGGGATCTTCTTACTCTCCACAAGCCACAAAATACCCCCTTTTCTTAGAATTACAAATTTTTTTATTCCACCTTGTTCTATAAAGTAGCAGAAGTAGTTACTCCTTTGTCCAGTTGAAGTGTTCAGTGAAGGGACTTGCTCTAGATCCTAGAAAATATGCTGGGATTTGTATTTAAGGTTCAAAATCAGGCAGCAACTGAGTACAGGCAAGAGAGAGCACAGCACACAGGTCAGTCTGATGTACAGAGACCCCGAGGTCCTGTGTGCCTGACTGGTGTGCAATTTCTGTGTACATTGTGGCTCAGGGGAGTGGGAAGAAAGACAGTAGGAAGCACTGAGTGCAAAATCTTCCTTCCAGTTGGATAAGCACAGTGGGAGAAGTCAGACGGACTTGATGGGGAATTTATCACGAGGATGATGAAAAGCAGCAGAGGCAGAATTTTGTAACTCAGTGGTGCAGGGAAAAGGTACCCAGACAGGGAAGGGACTGGAAACTGGGAATAAATGATGCTCAACACATCAAGAAGAGCTGGGGGCACAAGGAGGGCAGCCCTGAAGCAACGAGCCAAGAAAACTGTTGTCACCACAGCAAGTAAAATATATTTGAACCAGGACAAGGAGGGAGTGTGAAAGCAGCTGGGATACAGAGCTGGGATGTGAGGGGGTCTGTGCTCTCTGCCCTGTCAGGATGGTGGGGGGTATACCAGGTCAGCCCCCTCCCCAGGCTCAGCTGCAGCAGGAACTCCCCACTTACCTGCTCCCCTCCGCTGTTCCCACAGGGCTGCATCAGAATTTGGGAAGTGCCCCAAGGATATTTTGTGCTGAGGTCCTTAAATTTTTATGCAGGTTCAGGCCTCACTGGGGATCTTTGCAAACGCCCTGCTGAGGAGCCCTGTGTTTCAGAGGGCACCAGGTGGACTCTGCTCACCATGGTGCCAGGCAGGCAGCCAAGGGTGAGCAGAAGTCGCTGGGTTTAAGGCAGCTTCTCTCCTCTGCCCCAGCCCCAGCTTTGCCTTTTCTGCACAAGCTCATGGCTGTTATGGTCACAAGACCTTGTGCCTGAGCTGATTTGGGTAAGAGTAGAAGGATTTGTGGCTTGGGAAGTAAAAGGTAGCTGGAGGTGAAATATTAGCAGCTCCAGCGCTGATCTCTTGAGGGTGGCTGCTGCAGGTCACGGGTCAGAGAATTTAACAGATCAGCAAACCTTGAAATTCCCAGTTCTGAGGTAAGGCCTTGCCTGCTCCAACCCTTTCAGGTGGTTTTCCATCAGGCCGGAGAACAACACAGGCTTGGGGCCTCACAGCCCCCAAATCTGTTTCAGCCTGTTCTGCTCCCCAGATTGAATGATGTGTTTCTCTAGGTGCATTTTGCCTGGCAGCCACACAGGAGAGCTGAGTGGACGTGCAGAAGACTTGGCATCCACAACCTTCCACCACTGATTCCCTGCCACATGTGACTTCCTTGCTCTGCATGTTGGGATCTCCAAACGGGATGCTGGTGTTTCCCAAGTACTTTGCCACCCAAGAGGCTTTAGTAGAGACCATCAGACAAGGCAGCCCCACAAAGAATGAGCTTTCTCCTGTGTGAAGGACATGCTCTTGCTTATGAGATGTTACCTTTAAACAGGCTCCCTGGAAATAAGCAGGTACAGAGATTGCACCAGCAGGGCTTTTCCTGACGTGCCTTCTCCGCTCTCACTGCCAAGGTGAACTGCTGGACAGTGAACTCCCCTGGACTCTGCACCACTGTAGCCTGAGCCAGGACCAGGCTGCCAGCCAGGGACAACCCACTGGGCATTCCATACCTCTCTGGAGCACGAGCTATATCCAGCACTGCTCTTCCTCTCCAGCAAGAAGTGACGCAGAGACGATCCTGCTCTCCTGAGCATGCCACGGCTCCCGCTGTCCCCCTCCTGCAGGCACGGACCTGCAATTCCCCAGACACAAAGGAGAGGGGTGAGACAATCACTCCACAGCTGAGCAAACACTCTGTGTGCCTGGGGATGAGGCAGGTCCAGACCCAAAACTGTGGTTGTTCTGCCACAGAAAGGAAAAGGCAAAACGAGGTGCCTTGTGTGTTGTCACCGCAATGTCAAACAGTGCTGGGGCTGTACTTTGTGCCCATGACACACAATATCAGGATCACAAGGGCAACCATGACTTCTGCCCCCTCTGTCTCCCAGTTCAGGCTTCCCTCACTTTCCTCTGCACTGAGGGGAGTGGTATGGACATCACTGAGAGGGCATCCTCTGGGAATTTGGTATTCAGTGTTAGCTTCCCTTGTGGTTTCATTTATCTCAGCTACCTCTTGCCTCTGCCCTTTCTTCCCTACAGCACCTCCACCTTCCTCATCAGTGGGGCTGTTTGGACACCCTGCCTGCCTCTTGGGGCTGGGCAAACCTGCTCCATACAAACCCATCTCAAGTTTATTTAGGTACTTGAGATAAAAGCAGCGAGTCTGGAGGATGCATGCACCTTTATTTTAATGAGCCATGGATTAATTTACCCAACTGCCAAAAAATTAATTAAAACAGGTTTGAAGCTGGCCAGCCCACAGATAAGTTCTCAGTACTCCTAGGTGCACTTTCCATCCTTACATGCAGGATGTGAGTCCCTACTGTCTGCCTTTTGTGTTATTTCTATGAAAAGTGCAAAGCAGCCACCAGCAGACACCAGTGGGGTTTGACATCTCTCTGCCAGGTGGGAAAAACCAACACAATTTATGGAAAAATGGAGAGCCAGAGCATCATATTGGTCAGGACTGTGAAATCTCCCCCTCGTCCCTGTGCCAGGCACAGCTGCACACTGGGGACAGGAGATGTGGGTGGACACTGCTTTGGGGTGCAAAGCCAATGAGTCCTGTAAAGAGGTGACAAAATGAAAATGGGGCAGTATAAAAACAGGCTTTTAACAGATTGCAGAAAACTATGGAGCTGGTGGGAGAGCCGGGCACAAGGCTCTGGCACAGGGCTGGAGGCAGTACCAGGGTCAGGACAGCACACGGCGAGGATTTTGGAGGTGACAACTGAAAGGTCACCTCAGGGACTGGTCACTCAGCACCTCCTGCCCTCCAGCCCACGGACACCCGCCGTCTCCTCCATCCCAGTGCTCCCTAAACACTCCGTGGCTGCCCTGGGGTGCACCCAGGACGCTTTGGGGATAAAGGATCCCCCTGAACGTGGGGTGCAGGACCACGGCAAGCGCAGCAGCAGCGCCAGCAAGGGCAAACACGGAGGGACAAAGCAGCTGCCAGAGGGACAATGGGGGCAAAACCAACTTACATCAAGCTGGGCTGCGCTGGTTTACGCTGGGAAAGCCTGTCCCAGCCGCCCAGGCTGCCCTGGCACACATGCTGCTCTCTCCCCCTCCTCGAAATGCTTCATCTGCTCCCGGGACTTCCTGGGAGGAGTCGCAGAGGCTGCAGGAAGGCAGGAGTCGAGCTACAACACTGATGGGGAGAAGCGTACCGGGGAAAAGGAGGGCTCTTCAGGTCACCGGGGGGAAGGAGGAGAGGGCTTTTGGAGGCTCAGGGCCAGCGCTGCCAGAGGATTTTGGCTGCCTGGAAAAATATCGCGGTGTATTGTTCAGGTGGAAGCTCACGCCGGTATAACTATATGGGATTGTTTTTGTGGTATGGTAGTAATTACTTCAGCATGGCAATGGCAGGGAATTTCCCTTTGAGTGAAGTTTTTAGCCATGTTGAAAAATGAATTTTTAAGCCAGTCAGTCAGACCCTCTCAAAAATTTCATCCTACAGACTTATTAGAGAAGGGGGTGGATCACAGACAAAGTGAAGGCATAAGTGTAAAGTTCATCAGAGAATAATGACCTACTGTCACGGTACAACCTAAAGCAGATCCTGCAGCATCACCCGACCCCTGGGCTGTGGATGGGCAGGGATAGCAGCCTCAGAGGGGGATTCCAGTCCAGGGATGCAGGAGCTGAACTCTCCATCGGTATTTGAGAGGTGACAGTTGCTGCACTGGGGTGTAGAGAGCAAATTGTCCTCTCTTAGCTTCCTTCTTGTGTGACAAGGTTTTACCTGCACCGATGAATCAGGAAGTGTAATTCTCCTGGGTGAGTAATTTCTGTCTCCCTTTCACAGTAGGAAAAAGTGAGCCACAGGGAAAGGAAGCAGCTACATCCGCTGTGCCAAAGGTTGCCAACCCCGACCTGACATCTGAGGCACCCCTGAGGTGACTAAGCAGGAGGGAATGTCTGTGCAAGCAAATGCAAACTCTTTGTTTTCTAAACTTCTGTTAAACACCGAAACAAACAGATGGAAGGAAAACTGGTGTTTGGTTCTGTAAGAGTGTACAGGGCACATCCTGAGCCACCCAGTAGCTCAGTGGCTTTTTTTTCCTGTGCTTTCTTTACCCCCTTCTCCACCAGACTTGTACCTTCCCTGGTTGTTGTTTGCCCCTGAGCTGAGCTCGTTTGATTAGATAAATTAGTAAAAAGCCAACTTGGCTGAAAAGTGGCCAGTTTTCTGTCAGGTCTGTGAGTTGAGCTGGCTCAGAGAGGGTGGGAGTGAGGCTGAAAGGTGCTGCAAGGAAACAGAAATGTGGGCAAGGACCAGAGTGGGAAGAAGGGAGCATGAGGCCCTTCTCTGGCAGAATTTGGCCTTTATATTGGTTCAACATTATCATGTAACTTCACCTTAATTTCTTCTTGAAATTCAGCAGAAATTACTTGCTAATGAGCACAAGGTCAGCAATGTAAAGGACACATCTGACCCTATAGATTGTACTGTAAGACTCAAGGAAAATTAGGACCCTCTTCAGGTCATTTTAATTTAACAAGTGCATCTAGACTTGAACAATTCTTTTTAATTATTGTTGTTTTGGTTTTTTTTAAGTTAGTTATTGCCCTGGGCCCTGGCAGGTGAGATCACAGCTCCTGTGGTACAGCTCCTGTGCCTGTGGCTACAGGAGGTTGCCGATACCTGTAATATTCTTAGAAAGCCACAGACATACTAATTATAAAAATAATATATACTTATTTTACTGGTGTAAATTTTACTGTGATCACTGGTGTATACGAGTCAAAACTGGCTGCACTTAACCCCTCAGAACTTCTGCTTGTACACTAATGAAATCACAATGAGTGTCTTTGAACTGTCCTTTATGAGTTCAAAAAGAAATTATGCGCCTCGTGTCCTCCATTGAGTCAGGCGAATAAAAAACCGCCAGTGAATCACTTTTTTTCAGGCACTAAAAAAATTGAGAGCAGGTGAAGGCGCTCCCCTGGTGCGGGGGCTGCCCCTTTAAGAGCCGCCATTTTGCGCGCTGCCCTGCACCAAGATGGC